ACAAAGAACAAATCATAGGAAGGTTTTATCAAAATGAACTTCAAAAAACTGACTTTTAAAAATGAATCTCGAAAATGAAGATTTAGATGAAAGGTTAAGAAATATAGATGTCGACAAGCATTTACGCTTTCTTAAATTAAAATTTTTAAAATTTAAATGTAAATTTATCTTCAAAATATTATTGAATGTGTTTTATCAGAATGTTACACAAGTTTTTTCAAACACAAATTACGTATATATTTCGTCAATTGGGTCTTCAACAATACTTACCGCATACTCCGAAAAACATAACACCTCAAAATATTTTTAACTTTAATACAAAAAATCAACTTAAAAAAAAAACTGACTTTTAAAAATGAATGCGTTTCTCGATAAATACAGAAAAGACACGACTACAAACTTTCAAATTGTGAAATGGGCCAAGGAATTGAACGTCTCGCCGTTTTATTATTGCATGCGAGATGAAATTGATGAACTGAAATACAAGAAAGGTAAATTTTACGCCATCACAAACATTCACACGTCGGATCAAAAAGGAGTTCATCACTCTGCTCTACACAAAGATTCTTTGAATAACTTTTATTTCTTTGATTCTTTCGGTCTAGAACCGACAGAAGAGATAACGAAATTGACTAGCAAACCAATTAAATGTTCTACGTTTCAAATTCAAATGCCAGGACAAAAGCTGTGTGGACAGCTGTCGCTTTGGGTTTTATATCGGTTGAGTTTGGGAGAAAAGTTTGAAGAAATTATAATAGATTTAACTCAATAAAAATGGCAAACAAGTTTGGATTAGGGTCTTTACCTCTAGAATCTAAAAATCCCATGACGACGTTTATAAACAAAGCGAAACCTTTTTTCGTGGATCAAATCGGAGACACCTTACAAGGGGATATCGATATGAACAATTTCAAAATAACTAATTTAAAGTTTCCAGGTAACGATAACGATGCCGTTAACAAGAAATATTTACTGGATCAAATTCAAATAGATAAGGACCATGTTGAAAATAGAATAACTGACGTGAAAAGATACCTCAGACGAAATATTAAAAATCTTGTGGACGAACCCAAACTACAACAAGAGTTAACGAGTTTGAAACGTCTTATTCAAGAGGATAAACAAGTCAGTTGCAAAATTTAATATCTAAATTAGACGATAAGATTACGAAGGTAAAAATAGACGTCCAACGTTTAATAGATAACCCATATGTAAACGAGGATAGATTGAAACGAAAACTAACCGCTTTGGAAAGAAAACTTGGCGAATTGCTAGCAGAACTAGACAAGACCGTGGACAAAACCGAGTTACAAAATTCAGTATCCAAATTGAACGAAAAGATCGCGAAGCAAAAATCAGATATAATTCAAGATATAATTAACACATTTCCCATTGACAAAGATACGTTGAAACGACAATTGACTGCTTTGGATACTACAATCACGGGCGAATTAGAAAAAGAAGTGGGTGTGATTAAAAACTTTCTTCAAAATAAATTTCGAGATGATATGAAAAATTATATTAAAGAACAGGTGCTATTGTCACGGACAAGTCGTATTATTTCAATCTTCCATTCGAAAGTGACACTGTCATCGATGGAAAAGACCAAAGTTATAAATCAAACAAATACGGATTCAAAGCAGAAATAAAAGTGGGTTCTCGCGTAGACGGAGAACCTAAAAACGTATTCGATATCGGCGAAATGCAAGGGTTTACTTTTCAAGGTAATTGTCTGATTCAAATAGTTTCCTATGAAGGTTAAAGTCAATAAAGTAGTCTTCAAACAAACCGGTAAGGTCGTCAAACATATTTCATTATTCAATGATGGTAATTTGGAAGAGAATATACGTTTGATTGATAAAAGGGATCAGGAAATTGAAACGAAAAATGGTAAATATGTAGACACCTTTAAAATGGAAGTAGAAAATGATAAGGATAACATTGGAATCAAAGATTTAGTTATGATATTGGAGACGGAAAATCCACCATCAACCAACATGATCAAAATTCCACCATCATTTATAATACCCGCACACATACCCGGACCAATAGAATCGAGCAGTCATGAGTTTTTACGAACAACAGACTTTGAATACGTAAAACTGTATTTCGCTTTAGGTGAAAAATACACCTCGATCGATGTTCATAAAAGTCAACAAGAAAGAGAGTTTATAGTACATTTATCGTTTGCCGAAGACTCCATCCTTGAAGGTGGTGGTTTTATTTTTAGTGCCAAGATAAACATCGAAAAAGAAAAAATAAAATATTCCTATCATCTTAAAGAGGACCATATGAAAAAAGAAATGTCGTTAGTACGCGTAAATGTTGTTACTTTTAATACCCGAAAATATAATAATGCTAGGCCAAACAAGCACGCTCTTTACGATAATCCGTGGTTCTATTTATCGAAAATTCACCTAATTTAACGACTTAAAAAATGGAACTCGAAAGCAGACAATACATGATAGACAAACAAGAAGAGTTAAAAATAAAGTTAAGACAGTACAATTCATGCAGGAAAACATGGAGTAGAATCGATTCTGTTTTCAAAACAGCGAGTGTAGTTCTAACGATACTTGCAACGGCCGTGACTGGTGGATTAATGGTTCCTGTACTTGTCCCAACTGTATTAGCCACAATTACTGCTATTCAAACTTCATCTTGTGGCTTGATTGCTATAGGTTTCACGAGCAAAAAGAAAGCTCATTATTAAAAGAAAACGGATATCTTGAATATGTATCTTAATCAATTGTACATCTTTTTCGAAAGATCGAGAGAAGACAAGAACATAACAGTTGAAGAATTAGAAGAATTCAATGAAATTTTGGACAAATTCCATACAGAAATATCAGCGGTCAAAATAAAGAAATAATCAAAAATATATACTTACAAAAATATGAATAAAATCGAACTTGATGAAACATTGATAGAAAACGTCCTATTTTCCGATGTTATCAAGGCTGTTTCCAATAAATTTAAAACATTCAAAGGACAAATTAAAATAGATGGAGAGATCTGATGCTTCCGATTGGTATTTTACAGGAAATATTTAATTTTAATGAAAGACAA